TATGCAAATAGAAAAATGTGTTATGGGTCGATTAATTGGGGGGGGGGGATAGTCACAATACATCTGGACCTGCAGTACCGTACAGTTGTAGGTATAGACTATAGAGCGATAACCCCCCCCCCCCCCGCCCTCATCCCACAACTCGCATCCACATCCTCCACGCCGGTTGTTGACCGACAATACCCACGCAACCTTTTACAAGTGGCACATTCCTCCCTGGCGACTGCACGGACAATAGGTGCAGGTGCCGTGGGAAGTGGTACGGCCAGCGTTAGCGGCACCGCTTTAACACGTGGGGCTTTCGCGACCAATATCAACGACAAAGGTTTTTGGGGTTATATCGCGTAAATGTCTCGTTAAATCCGCCGCCAGCACCACCCCGTCGCGACCGATCGGTCAGGTTCGTCACGTGAACAAAACGTGCCATTTGGTGACTGCTTCAGCACACCGGTGTGTTGGAGAGTATTTGGTGACTGCTTCAGCACACCGGTGTGTTGGAGAGTATTTGGTGACTGCTTCAGCACACCGGTGTGTTGGAGAGTATTTGGTGACTGCTTCAGCACACCGATGTGTTGGAGAGTATTTGGTGACTGCTTCAGCAACCGGTGTGTTGGAGAGTGTTTGGTGACTGCCTGAGCACACCGGTGTGTTGGAGAGTATTTGGTGACTGCTTCAGCACACCGGTGTGTTGGAGAGTGTTTGGTGACTGCTTCAACACACCGGTGTGTTGGAGAGTGTTTGGTGACTGCTTCAGCACACCGGTGTGTTGGAGAGTATTTGGTGACTTCTTGAGTACACCGGTGTGTTGGAGAGTGTTTGGTGACTGCTTCAGCACACCGGTGTGTTGGAGAGTATTTGGTGACTGCTTCAGCACACCGGTGTGTTGGAGAGTGTTTGGTGACTGCTTCAGCACACCGGTGTGTTGGAGAGTGTTTGGTGACTGCTTCAGCACACCGGTGTGTTGGGGAGTATTTGGTGACTGCTTCAGCACACCGGTGTGTTGGAGAGTGTTTGGTGACTGCTTCAGCACAGCGGTGTGTTGGAGAGTGTTTGGTGACTGCTTCAGCACACCGGTGTGTTGGAGAGTATTTGGTGACTGCTTCAGCACACCGGTGTGTTGGAGAGTATTTGGTGACTGCTTCAGCACACCGGTGTGTTGGAGAGTGTTTGGTGACTGCTTCAGCACACCGGTGTGTTGGAGAGTATTTGGTGACTACTTCAGCACACCGGTGTGTTGGAGAGTGTTTGGTGACTGCTTCAGCACACCGGTGTGTTGGAGAGTATTTGGTGACTGCTTCAGCACACCGGTGTGTTGGAGAGTGTTTGGTGACTGCTTCAGCACACCGGTGTGTTGGGGAGTATTTGGTGACTGCTTCAGCACACCGGTGTGTTGGAGAGTGTTTGGTGACTGCTTCAGCACACCGGTGTGTTGGAGAGTGTTTGGTGACTGCTTCAGCACACCGGTGTGTTGGAGAGTATTTGGTGACTGCTTCAGCACACCGGTGTGTTGGAGAGTATTTGGTGACTACTTCAGCACACCGGTGTGTTGGAGAGTATTTGGTGACTACTTGAGCACACCGGTGTGTTGGAGAGTAAATGCACAACATTTACAATTCGAGTACGACCTTCTCGCTGGTGATTTACAACCGGCTTCATCAGGCGGTTAGCCAGAACTGTAAAGAAGTCTTCCTGTTTCGTAGCAGCAGCAGCAGAACGCCACACGATGTTCTCGAGGCGACCGCGCAATGTACGAGGCGGTGGAGTTCACGAGCACCGCGCGGGATTCCCTGTCCGGGTCGGGGGGGGGTCTCAGTGGCCCCTATCGCGAGCGCCTTGGCAAGGAGAGTGGAGCTAAAGGGACGCTGCGGCGATTATAGCAATGGCCAAAACAAGAATGTAATTTATCCATCCGCGATGGCAAGGTCTTTTAGTCCAAGTCGAGGCAAGACGACAGGACGGTGACAGTAATGGGCTTAAAAATGGCCAATTGTGGTGAATGCTTTTGGTATAATCATGCATATTTTATTCGGGCCGTTTATTGAGCACAAACTACTAATGCGGCCGCGGAAGCGTGCTTGCTAACGCAGCTGGAAATGGGGCAAACGCATTAAAAAAGGTGCTCGAAGGACGTGAAAGACCCTCGGTTGTCATGGCCGATCCAAAGCTCGGCATCCGTCGTCAAAAGTTTTCTCGCCTTCTTTACCGCAACGGGGGTCTTAATTGCCCCCTGCATCTGCTTTGTCTTTAATCTCGCTTTCACTACCGGCATTTTTACAGAGTCATTGGTGTGAGTGTCCAGAGTGAAAGCATTTTATGAAATAAATCATTGAGTACAGTCTTGTGTTTTCTGTTTTACTATAGAGCCGGCCTTCAGGAGAGAGGGAATTCAGAGAGGTGGCCTTCTCCACTTGAGCAGTAACACCACACTCCCAGGGCTATTTCTGCCGCATCCCAGCAACGCGTGGAGAGAGATCTCATCACGTTAAAATATAGATTTTTTTTAAATGTCAATAAAAACCAAAGCCATGCCATGATCACACCAACACTTTTTGTATTTTTTTAATGAAATACATGCACGACAAATGGACAGTTGTATATATTATTGCAAGAACCCACTTGCTGCTTTGCAAGAGCATTGCAAAGAGATCCATGTATACTCCAAGGGGCAACTCAGGCTTAAAACATGTTGGCATGTATGCGAGGATGCTGGAGTTACGCTAGCAGCAAGTAATCAGCACGCTTCTCCGTTTAACATATGTACGACTAAAAACGTCTAATTGCAGGGAGACATGTACATGGTTAATTATATTACAATATAGATGTGCATATAAATTAACAATAAATACTGGGCTATACAAAAGAAAGTAACAGGCTCGTCATTTTCAAAATACTTTTGGCAAAATTAAACCCTAATTATAAGAACAGGTGAGAGACTAATAAGGCTTGCGCCATAGTTTAGTAAGGTTTGCCAATTCAGTAGTTGCAATGAGATTGCGCGTAAAAAAAAAAAAACAGCGCGAAAGGTAATTGTATCATAGTGCGTACTGTGTTCATGTGCAACACATTTGGTTGACAACAGCAAAAAACACATTTTGGCCAAAAACAATACAGTACACAGTGTTTGGATACCTCCAACAGTTTAACACTTGGAATAAAGTTGACCGTTAAATGCATGAATATGGTAAATTGAACGAAACTGGGATTTGCACAGTAGTTCAACATCACTACCCATGTCTGATGACTCCTGGGCAGATGTATTCCTGGGAAGCGCCAAAGTTACTCTTGCAGGAGCGGGGCTGAGCAATGCTAGCTTAAGTATCCCTCCCCTGTTGCCTGGCCCTCCTCATCAGCACCACCACCCAGACCACTTCATCACCACCGCGGCGCACACCACCCGTTACCACTGCTACACCACTCATCAGCACCACCACCACCACCACACGCACCACTCATCAGCAGCATCACCACACGCACCACTCATCAGCACCACCACACGCACACCACTCATTAGCACCGTCACTTCTCCCTGCTCAACAGATCACCATGCATATGCACATCACTAATTACTTTCGACAAATAAACACTTGTCAGCATGACCCCCCCCCCCCACACACACACACCACCACCACCTACATTTGAGTGCCTGAGCATCAGCCACAATCACCACTGAAACAGGGTGATTGTTCCTTTGGAGACAGTGACATTTACATTTCCCAAGTTCATATCAGGGAACTTGTCACACCACGGCTACTTTCCTGGCGCCGTGCTACACGAATGCAAGCTGAGCTAGCAGGCGATGGAAATGCCATAGGTGCTGCTTGCCAACAGCACTCGCCCCAACAGTCTTGTCAAGGCTACACAGGGGGGGGGGGGGGGGGGGGCTCATGTCTTCGGTGTAAAATTGCCGTTTGGAAACAACGGCAAATCGCGGCGGTCGGCGACGCCCCGCTCACGGCTCGTACAAACGCGGAGCCGCGTGCGAGCGCGGAGCTCCGGACTCCTCACGCGAGCACGCACGAGCCTCGCGCGCGCGAGAGCCTCACGCGAGAGCCTCACGCGAGAGCCTCACGCGAGAGCCTCACGCGAGAGCCTCACGCGAGAGCCTCACGCGAGAGCCTCACGCGAGAGCCTCACGCGAGAGCCTCACGCGAGAGCATCACGCGAGAGCCTCACGCGAGAGCCTCACGCGAGAGCCTCGCGCGCGAGCGCGTGCTCTCAAGCGTGCGCGTGGCCGCTGTGCCACCCCGCGCGCCTCGGCGTGCAGCTGGCGTCGGCGGCCACTCAACGCTGGTTGCAAGCGCTCCGGGTGCGTTTGTCGGGTTGTGACGCGTGGTGTTGTTCGTTCGGCACGATGCACGTACACACGTACGTACGGGTAACTTCTTTCGCATCGTGCGTGGTCAACCGTGCTACGTACGTGTGTACGTTGAACTTCTTTCGCACCGTGCAAAGCCGACGGAGGCGCTAATCGCGATGGCAGCAGCTTCGGGAGACGTCAGGCATCGTAGCCGAGCAACATGCTGCACGGCCACCGAAATACACATCGGAGAGCTGCAGAAGCAAAACCGCAAAAACCTTACGTACGCAGCTTTGTCGTACTCGACGCCGGTGTGCGCCGGTCATGGACTGTGGCACTAACCGGGGCACAGCGGAGACGCGGGAAAGTCTCATCGCAAACCCTGCAGGCTTGCAGGCGTCATTTAACAACTGCAGCCGACGAACAATAACCATGCACGTGGCGCGATGAACGTACGCAAAGGTCATGCACGCAACGCGTGACCGAGCATGTTTCTGAAGGGAGTTGGTAATTCTGCAGTTTTACACCGCAAAGCGGCATCCGGGAGAACACGCGCACGGCTCGAAGGTTTGGGCCGCTGCAAGTCGACTCTAATTTCAATTATATAAAAATGCAAAAATACCATCTCTTCCTTCCCAAGAGAAAAGCAAAGAAATCGCTCCGTTCGCACGCATTCCGTTTGTGTATTTTACGACACAATCTGTTTTTTTTTGTCCACAACATTTTTAAAAAGCATTCTGTGCTTTGCTTGGAGCGTGTTTTTTTTTTTAGGCTGGAAACTTAGTTAAGCCCCTTCTTTGCAACAGGAGAAAAAAAAATCATTAACAAACGGTTAAGACTTCGGTGCCACAGAAATTGTGAAGCACAATTGCAGTCAACGCAATGCTTCGTCGACGAAGAGACAACAGCGATTGAAGGGGCGGTAAAATCGGCCACCTCGGCGTCATGATTTTTACAGAAATAGTATACAAGTGCCGTGTTGACACGACCGAGGGGGGAGGGGGGATGCAGCCTGATAAATCGTCCAGGTTTTAACGCAAGAGAACATAAGACAACCGCACGGTGCAATGGGGGTGGCCTCACAGGGTCATCATTCAAAGCCACAAAAAAAAACTGTCGAGAAATGTCAGGAAAAAAAAACATTCAAAATCATATATACCGGCGGAAAAAAAAAATCACCAGAATATAACGAGCTTCATTAGCTGTAGAAAAAAAGTACAAATCTTTGTGAACGTTTTCCCGCTGCAAGTCTCCCCGTGCGGAGATTCACATTTCCGTGTGCTTCAAAAACTTTGTGCAATCGATACGAGTGCCATGCGGCCGTTGGGGTCGTGAAGTCGATGGGTCGTGGGGGTCGTGGGGGTCGTGGGGGTCGTGGGGGTCGTGGGGGTCACGTGGCGGCGCGCGGAAACGGATCACGCCACCGCCGCCCCTCACTGGGTGCAGCGGTGGTGCCGATCGGAGCGACCTCGAGGGGCCGCGACCTCGAGGGGCAGCGGCGGGGCGCTGGCACCAGGGGGGGGGGGGGTTCAGGGGCGCCGCGGCTCCAGCTTGTTGGAGAGCTGCGAGAGCGTGCGCTGGTTGTCGATGACAGACAGCTGCCGCACGTAGGCGCGCACGTCTGCGTGGTTCTTGGCGGCGAGCGATGGGTCGGGGCCTGGGGGCAGAACATGCGCAGGGCATTCACGCCATGTACGGCCCTCGATAAATCAACTGCTGGACGAAGGCCTCCGCACGCCTCTCGGTCATGGGGGTTGTTTTTTTTTACTCTCCTTCACCACGCTCATCAAAGCGGGTTGGTGAAGCGAGGGAGCCTTGCACCGGTTCAGATATCGCTGGTCACTCATGTCGGGCGTGGCCAGGAATCGCCACAACTCCATCTTTAACTACACATTCACAAACATTACAACGGCATTCTCATGGTAATACCACGACGTAGCAGCCTATGACGCTCGTTACGCATGGTGGCCATACATCCTAGGACACTGCCCAGGCCCAACCATGCGAAGCTTCCACGATCTGACGAGATCGGTCGAACTCCGCGTTCATTTGGTCATAGGTTACGTTGTGAGCCCGCAGAGGGCGGTCCACTGTAGTACCAACAATAATCTGAACTTGAAACGTGCAGAGTGTCCGCTCATTCAACTCAGCGCGAGGAAACAGCCAAGGGACAAAGGCAGCCAGGCAGTGACCCAGCGTCAGATTTACCCCCACTCCAAGTACCTCCATATGTGAAAGTGTCATTGGCCACGTAATGAGCGTTTAAATGTGGGAGGAAACTGGAGCGTCGCTCCCATCCCGTACAGATCGAATAGGTGGGGTGGTCCCCATTCGCTGTACCGCCTTCTCCTGGGCAAGCCGGGGTACGGCAAACTTCCTCGACAACCTCGCGAAGCGAGTTTCACAACATGTGTGTGCGCTCCACCAACCCTCGCTGCCTCCACAGTGCTGGATTACAGGTGAGTCTCGTTCTAAGCCCCTCGTGTGTCTATGCTCCAACCCCTACTTACCAGCGTGGGGAAGTATGGACAAATAAGCCCGGCTTGTGGAGGCGATTTCATCTAGCGGTGGATTGACAAAAAAGGGCTGTACATGTACACAAACTACGTTTGCGAGCATAAGAATGAGCACAGATGGATGTGTGACGGCTGCGTGCATCATCGTAAGTGGGTGCGGAGTGTGGCTCAAGATGCAGATAATCGCCACGTGGTCGTGCGGCGCTACCGTGCGCGCGAGACGTCTGCCCCACGTCTCACAATAAAGGCAAAGCGATCACGTCACAAGGGGCTTTAACGTTAAAATCACCCTTTGCGTCAAGGTGACCGCGGTATGTGCAGTGGCTGACCAATGGTAGGCACGTGTTGCTGGTGTACGTATTCATGCTGAACTTCTATCGGAGCAGCGGAGATGCGGGGGAAGGGCAACAAACTCAATACAAAAAAGCAGTTCTGAAGAAATTCGTTTTCAATTTAGATTTTAAAAGTGCATAGCTCTCGTGGCTTCCTAATATTGGAAGGAAGAGCGTTCCGGAGGGCCGCAGAAGCGCATCCGAAAGTGCGCGATGCAGTGGCCGTCTTTGTTCAACGGTTAACCAAAAGCCGCTGCGAGGATGGCCGGAGTTCGCGTGTTGGTTTGTGCTCCTTGGCAAGATCGGCAAGGTGTTGCGGTTCACTCGTGGAAAGCACTTTGTACGTATCGAGTGCGACCTTATGTTGCAAGCGGTGGGTGAGGGCGTGCGACGCTTACTGAAGGACCGGCTGCGACACACCCGCACCGTCCGCACCGTCTCGGCGATCATGTGCTGCGCAGACACACGAAGGAGGGTTCCACCAGCCAAACCGGCACCGCAGACACCACATGCACGGCAGTTTTCAGTTCGTTAGACTTCGCCATGATTGCCTCAACAGAACGATGACGGCAACCGCTCCGCATTGGTTCGGCCACCGGGCGGAGAAGCGCGGCGTTACAAGTTGCGAGCGCGAGGACGGTGCCGTCGATTACGGTCAAGCTTATATATGGCACCTCACAGGTCGTGCAAGGTGTTTGCAATCAAAATAAATGAATGAATAAATAAATAGGCGCTCACCATTTTTTCAAAATTCACCAGGCTGTCGATGAACGTCTTGTTCCCCTCGTGCGTAAATGTCATGTCTGTAAAGGAAAGATCACTTAGTCGTGCAATCAGCGCAACACGAATAACAACGACGATGACGACGATGATGATGGTACTCAGGGACGTACAGTGACGATCGTGTGGCCGAACTCACCCTTCATGAGCAGCGGCATGAACGGGATGTACGGCGGCTCCAGCTTGGACACAGCCATGCGGTACGCGCGGTGGTTGCGAGAGGGGTCCTGGCGTGCCAACGGCAGCACAACGGGGACATACTGATGAGGACCAGCGCGGTGGAAACGTGGCGATGAGTCTCTCTTTATCCGCTTGTAGCTCAGCCGGGACAAAAAAATTAATCACGTCCATGTGAGGGGGGGTTGCCCCCACCATGGTGACGGCCATGGAGGGGGGGTCTGGGGGCCACTTGAGGAGTTTTATTATTGTATTATTGTTTTTTTTTTTATTCCAGGCGAAGTCGGAGCCTTCCCCCTCAAGGGAACAAAGGGACGGCACTCATCCCCATCTAAAATGTAACTGTAGACAATTTTTTTTTATTTTACCAGGTAAGGGCCACTAAGCTATGTAGCTCTGTTTCAGAAGCGACCTGGCCACAAATGATAGCCCAACAGAGTGGCTCATCGTGTTGGAAATGTATAGCAGCCAAATACTCTAAACGGCATGTTTCTAAATGTGGAGGAAAAAACCGGATGACCCGGAGAAAAATCCACGCGACCACGTGGAGAGAGACACGCAAACTCCAAATATATAGGCGTCAGGGTTGGGATCGAATCCACGACCTCCTGCATACCAGGCGAGGGAGATAACATCTCGCCAACGTGGCACCGACATCTGACACTTCTGCAAAGCATATGACTTCTGTAATCAGTGCTGGAACCTCCAAAATTCCTATGCCAAAAAATATTTTAACCGTCCGCTAAATTGGTACTCATTTAACAGATCCCCCGCCCACAGGAGTGATTGGTTCTGTTGACCGCCGCCTGATTTTTTTTATACTCGCAACTTTCCGATCGTTAGTCGAGTCCTCTGACCACATCGAACCCGGTCCGGTTTCCTCACCATGAGACTTTCGAATTCCGAGTAGATTTTCTTGAACTTTCCGGGAAGTTTCTAAAGCCACGCAAACACAAAAAAAAACGCAGCATTGTCAAGGCGTAAAAAAAACTCAAGGCGTCGGGTGGCGCGTTTCTCGGCGGCACGGTGACGCCAATGCTGCTCGTCACGGAGCGGCGCCGTTTTTTAGGCCGGGCCGTGACGCGAGAAACCGCGAGCGGCGTCACTTTTACCTCCCAGGTCTGCGTGAGGCGGCTCACGGCGACGTTGCTCAGCCCCATCACGATGGCGAAGAACGAGTTGAGGTTGCGGTACTCCTTACAGCTGGGGAAGCACAGCACAGGGGAGGGAGGGGGGGGGGCGACGACACAGGAGCGCACGCAAGCCAGCTGTAGCCCCACAGTGCCGCTGCGGTGACCGACGCAGGCCGAGGGTGTGTGGGTGTTGGTGGTGGTGATGGTGATGTCGGGGAGCGGTGGCGCAGTGGTTAGCGCGCCGCTCGACGAACCCGGTGACCCGAGTTGGATCCCCGCTCACGGCCAACGTCCGTGGAGAAATATCTGAACCGGTCCTGTGTCTCCCCTAGGTCAACTGGGTGTGGCGGGTAAACATCACCACTGGGGGAGACAAAGGCGACCGAGTGCGGTGCTGGTCACCTACCGCATCACGTGCCGTGCCTGTGCTCGCGAACAGCGCTTGCTCCAACAGACTGTTAAAACCGATATGGGGGAACTTTGTCCTTGTGGTGATGCTATGTTGGTGACATGTGATTGGTGATGCGTGCTATGGTGGTGGTGTGTTCGTGGTTGGTGGTGGTGGTGTGTTTGTGGTGACGGTGTGTGCGTGGTGGTGGTGGTGTGTTTGTGGTGACGGTGTGTGTGTGGTGACGGTGTGTGTGTGGTGGTGGTGGTGTGTTTGTGGTGACGGTGCGTGATGGTGGTGGTTTGTTTGTGGTGACGGTGTGTGTGTGGTGGTGGTGGTGGTGTGTTTGTGGTGACGGTGCGTGATGGTGGTGGTGGTGTGTTTGTGGTGACGGTGTGTGCGTGGTGGTGGGGGTGTGTTTGTGGTGACGGTGTGTGTGTGGTGGTGGGGGTGTGTTTGTGGTGACGGTGTGTGTGTGTGGTGGTGGTGTGTTTGTGGTGACGGTGTGTGTGTGGTGGTGGGGGTGTGTTTGTGGTGACGGTGTGTGTGTGTGGTGGTGGTGTGTTTGTGGTGACGGTGTGTGTGTGTGGTGGTGGTGTGTTTGTGGTGACGGTGTGTGCGTGATGGTGGTGGTGCCAGGTTGGTGATAATGTGCAAGGTGGGTGGCAGCGGATGCGTGTGTATGTTGTCGAGTGCTGTCCGTGTCGATGGCGCGTGGCTGCCCTCTGCTGGCCCGTGAGTTTCATCTCGCCCCGTCGTTCGGGAGAGACTTACTGTGCGGCCACCTTGATGAACTTGCGCAGCAGCTGCACGCGCTTGCTCAGCTGCTGGCAGAGGCAGATCTCGGTGAGCACCCAAAACTGCAGCTCGTTAAAGCGCCGCAGGAACAGGTCCAGGTTTGCCGTGGTCCTTCTGAAGTTGTGTCGCCCAAACGTGTGGTATATGAGCTCCAGCTGGGATGCGAGCCGCGTGGCCGCAGGGAAGAGCGGCGGGGATGGGGAAAATGCGAGCAGATGAAGGTAAGGATGGGAGGGTCGGAGTAAACGCTCAGCGGCAGCGATGTGTGTTTAATCTGCAACAACGCTTCAAACATTAATTTTGCACGTATCTATAGCTCGTCCACCGCCATTGTAACTCTTAACACATTGCACCACAGCCGTGCTTTTAACTCGGAGAGACAATCTGTCTACAGGCTCGAAAGCTGGATGTAGGTAATGCAAATTAAAATGATAAATAAATCGTAATTTACTGCCCTCTAGTCACTCCACGACTGGGTGACGGCCTCTCCAACGTCACGTCGCTTGTTGGGGTTTATTTGGCCATACTTCACCATGTTGGTCGTTGGGGGTGGGGGGGGGGTGAAGGACTGAGTGGTGCCCAGGACCTGTTTAGGTTATTACTCGGCACAGATGCCGGAACTTGAACTGAGGTCGCCGGTTTCTCATCGCGCTGCGTTAACCACTGCGCCACCGCTCCACCACCACAACAACATTAGTTCTTCAGATTCGAGAATCACGGCGATTGCTTGATAATAGAGGGGGGGGGGGGGTTGGGTTACTTCGCGGGTCTTTCACCCCTTTCTAAAACCTCCCGATTGCTCTCAGTCGTCACCGTGAGATCGATTGCAATTCCGGTAGACTCCTGGAAAATCCGGGAGGGTTGGCAACCCGAGTAGCATCTCGCCCGACACAGAGGTTGCTGGAGCGAGCGGATGCTGTACCTCGTGGAGCCTCACCTCGTGGACCCTCACCTCGTAGGGCCTCACCTCGTGGGGCCTCACCTCGTGGGCCCTCACCTCGTAGGGCCTCACCTCGTGGGGCCTCACCTCGTGGGCCCTCACCTCGGGGCCCTCACCTCGGGGGACCTCAATTCGTGGGGCCTCACCTCGTGGGGCCTCACCTCGTGGGGCCTTCACTTCGAGGGCCCTCACCTCGTGGGGCCTTCACCACGGGGCCCTCACCTCGGGGGACCTCAATTCGTGTGGCCTCACCTCGTGCACGCAGTGGAAGAGCTCCCAGTCGTAGACTGTGAGCTGGTGAGCCAGATCCTTGGAGCCCATCACCTCGAAGGTACCGACTGAGCCCACGGCGGGGCCCTCCTGCTCCGCCAGTGGCGTCTGCGGTCACACGCACACACGCTCGCGTGACCACGCGCTCTCCCTCACACCGGCCCCAGGTCTCCGGAAACCAAACCCACCCGCAGTGGGGCTGAGCCCGGCAAACGGCAACATGGAAAATTAAGTAAATTTATTGTAACGGGCGCAGTGAAACACACGCGTGCGCATGCACGCACGACGGCCCGCTTAACATGTTTCATAGTTACGACATACTGTAGGTTTAATTGCCGATGACCAAATCACTCAGAAACCTTTTTAAAAATCATCTCAGAAGCTAACCAGGGTTTTAAAGGCTGGATAGTGCGCGGATGGGCAACTCCCTTACGTAAAAAGGCTGCTGTGGGGCTACATTGTCAGCAGAGTGCAGTGCTGTATCACGCTTCAACGTTTCTCTTCTTGACCCACGCTGACCAGCATGGTGAAGTGTGGTGGAATAACCTCATGACCCCGCACAACGCGAGGAGACCCTCACGCAGGGGCGGATTCACCGTGAGTGCGTGCACACACATGCAGGTTACAGCCCACGCGCATGTATACGCGCCAGTTTTTAACGATTCATACAAAAAAAAAAGCTGTGCCCCACAGACACGGAGCGCTGAAGCAGAGCGGCGCTCCTCCTCTTCGCCGCCGCACAGGGGGGGGGGGGACAAACGCGGGGCAGATTGCGGAGAAACGCCGGGCTCAGGGCGGCAGGGGGGGGGGGGGCGGGCAGGCTGCGAGCGGCAGGAAGCGGCGCCCACCAGGGAGTCGATGACGTCGCGCGCGCACACGAAGAGCCGCCCGTTGACGCTGAGCGTGGTGAACACCGACACGTCGCTGGGCTTCAGTACCACTTTCTCTGCAGCGTCGCACGCGCCGGGACGAGTTGGAAAAATGACGACAACAACAACAACACGTTTAATTTGAAAGGGAGAGTTTTATCATTTGGCAAGGCGAACGGTGGATTTGTTTTTATACGTGGGGGATTAATTTTTAACACGTAGGCTTTCATGACCAATATCATCCATAATACAGGTTTTTTTTGTTGGGTTAGATCGTTTCAATATAGAAATGTGTCGTTAATCCCGCCACCACCCGACACAGCTCCTTAGTAAGGTTTGTCACGTAAACAGAACGTGGCCAATTCGTTACTAGTACAGCACACCGGTGTGTTGGAGAGCCAAGCGACAACATTACGAGTAACGAATTGGCATGCTCTGTTTACGTGACAAACCTTACTAATTGGCTGTGTCGGGTGGTGGCGGGTTTAATGACACATTTATACATTTACGCGATCTAACCCAAAAAACCTGTTTTATATGGATTATTTTTGTTACTTTTTTAATTAAGTAGGGCCCCCAACCCCCCGCTGGCCCCAACCAAGTGGGGACCTCGTGCAAGAGGGAAGATGAAGATTTCAATGAGGGGGGGGGGAGGGGGTGAAACAGGGAGGGGGAAGAGAAGAATAACAACGAAGCGTGCTAAGGAAAAGCCAGGGGTGGGGTGTGGGGGTGTGGGGTGGGGGTGTGGGGTGGGGGTGCACGTGAGGAATATTTAAAGAGGGGATCGCCCTCCTTGCGCGCTCCCCGGCTCGCCGTCTCACCACCGGCAGAGCTGACTTTGACGAGCACCAGGTCCTCGGCAGAGCCCAGCTTGTCGGTCGTTGGCGCTATCGCCTCCCTCACGGTGGCGGCCATCGGCACCCGGATCGTCATGTAGGTGTGGTCGGTGCAGTAGACCTTGAAGAGGACTGCGTGCCAACCGGGGGGGGGGGGGGGTGCACAGAGGGAGGCAACGGTCACCCGCAGCTCGCTGTGTACGCGGGAGTGCAAGAGGCACCAGCACGTAGATAGATGTGGGGGGGTCAAGCAGCAGTAGTTAGGGCCAAAAACGGGAGGACAGGGGAAGTGTCATCCTATAATCATCTTCATGATGCACACTTAGTGCACTCAAGATAGCAGGGTTTTATATATATAGTCTGCAATTGTGCACCGAACGTCAGAGACTTTCACAGTAATTGCATATCATGTAGCAAATAAAATTGCTTGGACACTCCATTAAGGCCCCTTTCATATTTAAACCGGGATAAAATGATAATGTTTCTCATCGCAGCAGGTAACGGGCGCAATCTTGAACAAACACTCTTTTGAAAGGCCACTATAATATCCAGGTCCCAATTGTCTGTGGTCTCTTTTGATATGTCATTTGCGGAAAAACTTTACCCCACCTGTGCGTCTTTAAGCCCTGCAACATCAAATTTTTGTCTCTTCTACCGGGGAAGTTTCTGACGACGCGAGGCGCGTTGCCGACTCGGAATCTCGCACGCGCGACGCAGGCGAAGACGCCGGTCGTGTATTGATGACGGCTGCGTGTGGGGCACTGCTCACTCTCATCAGTCCCTCGGATGGGCTGGCACTTCTGCAGACGCTCCTCTCCGATGCTGAACTGTCGCAGGAGACGTTTCTGTGGGGGGGGGGGGGGGGGGGGGCGGGGAGGGCAGACATGAATGTGGAGCGCGGGAAAAAAGCTCGTATCCCCGCCGCTCCCCTCAACTCCGCGGTGCACAGGGGTACACGGGAGAGAACGTGTCATCGCGAGACCCACGGAGGCCAATGATGAAATTTTTGTTTCTCCGTAACACCGTGCATCGCTGAAGTGTCAAGTGTTTTCGTCGTTTGTGCACATACGCATGGGTAAGTAAGGACACTTGCCTTCGGCGTGGACTTGTTTTGGATGCCGTTCGATAAACTGAAAAGCAAGTACGAAACTTCGTTAACAGAAATGCATAAAAACACAAAGACTAAAACAACATGCGGACACGGACATTTGCTGTCGTGTTTAAGCCTTTGCTCGGCCGTGCTCACGTCTTGGCTTTGAGCTTCTCCAGCTCGATCAGGTCTTCCTTGAGGATGGGATGCAGACGTGCGTCATCCAGCACTGAGATGTGGAACTCCTGCACAATCAGAGGCACACCCCACTCAGTCAGTACCCTCACCCCACTCACACCCCACTCAGTCAGTACCCTCACCCCACTCACACCCCACTCGCTCAGTACCCTCACCCCACTCACACCCCACTCGCTCAGTACCCTCACCCCACTTACACCCCACTCGCTCAGTACCCTCACCCCACTCACACCCCACTCGCTCAGTACCCTCACCCCACTCACACCCCACTCGCTCAGTACCCTCACCCCACTCACACCCCACTCGCTCAGTACCTTCACCCCACTCACACCCCACTCGCTCAGTACCCTCACCCCACTCACACCCCACTCGCTCAGTACCCTCACCCCACTTACACCCCACTCGCTCAGTACCCTCACCCCACTCACACCCCACTCACTCAGTACCCTCACCTCGCTCACACCCCACTCGCTCAGTACCCTCACCCCACTCACACCCCACTCAGTCAGTACCCTCACCTCGCTCACTCAGTACCCTCACCCCCACTCACACCCCACTCACTCAGTACCCTCACCTCGCTCACTCAGTACCCTCATCCCACTCACACCCCACTCACTCAGTACCCTCACCCCCACTCACACCACACTCACTCAGTACCCTCACCCCCACTCACACCCCACTCACTCAGTACCCTCACCCCCACTCACACCCCACTCACTCAGTACCCTCACCCCCACTCACACCCCACTCACTCAGTACCCTCACCCCCACTCACACCCCACTCACTCAGTACCCTCACCTCGCTCACTCAGTACCTTCACCTCCACTCACACCCCACGCGAGTGTGCGCGTACACACGTGTACATGCGCGTGTACGTGCGCGTGCGCGTGCGCGTGCGCGAGTGGCTGGAACCTCGAGGAAGGCGGTGGCGGCGACGTCCTCATGCAGGAGCTCCGCATAGACGGCCGCCCACTGCAGCACGAGCCGCACGACGCGCCGCTTGGTGCTCAGCGAGTAGTCGGCCTTCTCCTGCTCCGAGCCCTGCGACCGCGTCGACTCGGCGTGGTACGTGCGGCGGCCTCGTCAAGGACACGCACGGGAGCCCCCTACTCGCGGTGTCTCGCCCAACGCGTCGCGCACGGCCGTCGCGCGTCGCGTTCGGTTCGCCGTCGCACCCGCTTCGGAGACTTGGCCGGCCGTACGCCGCCGGCGGGCGGCCGGTGGCTGGAGCTTCGCAAGCATTCCGAGATGTTGAACGGCGGCGTTTTGTTCGGACGTCCCCCCGGCGCGTGGAGCGAGACGCGGGAGACGTCACGCCGAAAAGCGCGCGGGGGCACGATCCGGAAAACGCACCGCAGAGCTCGGCTGCGCGACGGCGGCAAAACAAAAACCTGCCGCGGTGACATTGCCCAGAATCGTCGCGTCAGACATCCAACGGGGACGGGAGCTTGTGATCGCGGCAGCAGGGCACAAATCGCGCGGGCGATGAACGAAGATCAATTGCGTCCGTGCCGATGCTCCGGTCAACGCCGGACGGGCGACTACGCACGAGGGCGTCCAGGAGACCCGGTGGCTGCGTCGGTCGTTACTCCACGCTGCTTGGCTTAACGCGTGCAATGACGGCGCCGATCAGGTGGAGGGTCTTCACCGTGGAGGATGGTTAAAACGCCGACGCGTTAATCGGCGGCGAGTGCGGGGCGTTGTGTCAACATGTGATGCAAGTGCGCTCGTAGGTGGATTTTGACTTCTATATTCGGGGGGGGGGGGGGGGAGGAAGAAGTTCGCTTTGTCCCTCACATTAGGAATCGTGGGTGCATATAATAAAGAAATGTACATAATATAAAGAAATTTATTATAAACTACTAAAAATTATAATTAATAAAGGTGCCCAATTTGGGCGGGGCATTGCCCCCCTGTACCCCCCCCCCACCCCTGCAAACTCCGCCCATGGACGCGCTGCGGGTGCAAGTGCGAGCACGGCTCGTGGATGAATGCGGACAGCGGGCGACGGCATTGACGGAACCTCTAAATGCAGCTGCGTTATTCAGTCAACTTTAAATTGATTTCAAAGAAGCCGCCGCGATTCGGCATCGGCAGCTTGCCATTCATCCGAGCTAAGCGCTCGGGACGGGCGCCTCTCTTGGGCGCCGGGCCTGCTAGCGCGTCCGCGACGACTTTGATTTTTTTACGCGCGCGCCGCCATCGTCGTTGTTCGCCACGCGCGTGCGTCTGTGTGCGTTTGCGCGGCAGGGAAGGATATTGTCCCATGAGAGCGGGGCACAGCTGGCTGCTCGGCATGAACGCCACGTGGGTGAGCAGGAAGTCTCCCAGGAAGGTCTCTGCGAGGAAACACGGCGGGGGTGCCATCAATCTCCACGCAGAGCCAGGGGCCGGGAGGAAACCCGTGACACGATGCGCGAGCGCATTGCACAAGAGCGGCTCGCGCGATCCCAGCGGGACCGCAACGGAATTTAAGGGAACACAAGTGACCCAAGTTAGATTAATCCCATTGGATACCAAGTCGCAGTTGTGTCTTATCGCTCTATTTCCATTGGATAATGTCATTCGGTGGGATTATTCAAGTAATGGTAGGAACCTGAAAGAAAGGTAGACCTCATAGAGAATGGCATGACGAGATTGGTGCCAAAAAGATGTTGCATTTCTTGAGCACACTGGCACAATACTGAGAGGAAAGTGGAAAAAAATAACTCAATGTACCGTGGACACCTACAGGCTGTCTGCCCCATGGGTCATGAGGAGGATGATGATGATGATAATAATTCACGTACAATCCATAATAGATTTTTTTTTGGGGTGAGATCGCAATCTACCCCAAAAAAACCTGTATTATTGATGATATTACTCTTTGGTTCTTTCGGTAAAGTCACGGAGGTAGAAAAAGAGTAGATCACGACGTTCGATCGCAACACAAGCAATCGTCATCAGGTGGGACAACCACAGCAAGAAAAAACTGGCCTACTTCAGCAGTTTTATTTCTTGCTGTGGATGTCCCACCTGATGACGATTGCTTGTGTTGCGATCAAAATGTCGTGATCTTTCATTTTTTTATACCTACGTGACTTTACCGAAAGAACCAAAGAGTATGGATTCCTGCAGTCACAAAAGCTTCAAATCAAGATTGATGATATCGGTCGCGAAAGCCTACATGTTAAACTCCACGTACAATGTTTTAAAACGGATTACAAACGGTCGACTGCGGTGTTGGGTTTTAGAAGCGATGGAGCGCGCTGGTAGGGGAGGCGGCTACCCTTCGTGTCATCGAACTTGGTGTCGGGCCGCATCGTCTCCAGCAGGTGCTCGAGGATCTTGTCGGGGGTCCCTGACATCACCGAGTACCTGGGGCATGAGGAAGACACGAGCGCCATTCAGTGCTTCGCCTGTGCCCGGGCGCACGGAATGAAATGGAGCCTCTTGTTCGATATCCCCTCCCTCTTCAGAGCCAGCCCGTGGGCCCCTCTGGCCCATTGGCCCCACGGTGCAGTTGCACTCCCTGCGCACCCGATAGCTACGCCACCGGAGCCGGCGGGTGGTCAGCAGCTGGGTCCAACAGCGTCACGGCGAAAAGTTCACAAGCATCGTGGCTCACATTTGCCTCTTCAGCGTAGAAAGGGATGTTGAAGCATCGAAAACCGTCACCATGACGATGATGATTTACATTCGATAACAAAACACCAGAGTCGAATTCGGGATCCGTGTCTTTGGTGGTCGCCGCACCGCTAGGTGGACCGCTCGTGTTCGCTGTGTGGGCATGGAACAATTCACATTTAAAAATGCAAACTTGATGTTGGTTGCGCGTGTGGATGCCCAACAGCGTTGAGATTGTTGCAATGTAAGGATGGGTGCATCTGGGTCGGGCTTACTTGTAGTGCACCTGGGAGCCGCCCTGCAGGGCCACCCTGCCCCCCGACGGGATCTTCTCGAGCACCAGGACGTCTTGGCCGTGCTCCTTGAGCCGCACCGTGTTGGCCTCCACATCCTGCAGGGAGGGGGGGGGGGTGCACACGGTGGTGATGGTCGCAGCGGTTAGCGTAGCGCAGTGAGTAATGAGCTGCACTACGCTAACTCGATGACCCAAGTTTACATTTTCGCTCGTGGCCAACACAAGTGCCAAATCTCTTAACCGGATTCTGGGCCTACCCTAGGTTGACTCAGCCTCTCACGAGTACCTTGTGCGATGTGTAAACATCGCCATTGGGGAGACAAAGGTGGCCAGGCATAGTGCTGGCCACCCACCCCCACGTGTGCCGTGCCGGCCTTCATAGAAGCTCGATAAAAAACACTTGCCCCAACAGTCTGTTAAGGCTACATGGAGGATCTTTGTCTTTGGTGGTTGCCGTACCGTAAGGCGAATGGCTGGTGTTTGCTGTGGGTGTGGAACCATTCTGCCCTCCTCCTCCCAGTGATGCCATTGTCACGATTTGGGATCATAATTAAAAACGAGAATCAATTATCTTGGCGACTCACCTTTAGCGAGTAATTTGTGTAATTTCTCATTTATTTTCGTCTCGTTTGCATAGTTTTGTTTGCGTCGTTAACCAAAAGTAACAGCATATTAGTGGGATATAATTGTCATTAATAATAAATATATAATCATGAAATGCATTATTTTATTTATGTATTATGGGTATAAGAATTTCTCTCAAGTACCGTAATTAATAAATGTCTAGCTCTGTACCTATTGCCGTGGTATTGATACCGATATTAAAATTGGCTCATTTCACATGATGAATGGTGTTAATGCTTATTAATACCATTCATCCGAGGCCAGAGCCCTCATCCCCTGCCACCTCCTGTAGCCCAGATCTCTGCACTTTAAAACACCCCTAGAGATTGACTGCAAAGCGAAACATACTCGCAGGATTCGGTTGAAGTCCTCTTTGTCCACACGGAGGAAGTGGCAGTTGTCTTCTCGCAGGACAATGGAGGCCGCCCGAGGAGCGTCGTTCACCAGGGCCAACTTCCCAAAATCATCGCCTTCGTGGAGGGTGCACACAACGCCCTGCGACGCACACACCACCACGGACAAGCCTCCGTAATCCACCCGCCGCCGTACCTCACACATCCCACGGTGCCACGCCTTACAGGACACGTCAGCCTTTACCGGAGTCGGCAGACTTACAGGAGGCAGCCTGGAGTGCGAAGGGTGTTTGGGAAGTCTGCAAAACTATATATATAATTTTTTACTACCAGGTAAGGCCCACTGAGCTGTATAGCTCTTTTTCAGAAGCGACCTGGCCACAAATGATAGCCCAATGAAGTGGCTTACCAAGTGGAAATTTCATAGCAGCCAAATACTCTTAAATGTATGTTTATAAATGGACGGAAAAACCGGAGGACCCGGAGACAACTCCACGTGACCATGGGGAGAGAGAACATGCAAACTCCAAATATACAGGCATCAGGGTCAGGATCGAACCCACAACCTCCTGAATACCGGGCGAGGTATTTAACATCTCGCCACCGCGGCACCCGTAGAGGCTAGACACCCGCGAAACGCAGACTCGCGCACGCTCTTCTCTGCCACCCTGGCACTCATCTCCTCGTTCACACAAACATAATTCCAGAAATGCTCCACTGTGAACAAAACGGAGGCCTCTGTGGTCAGTGAAGTTGCGGCTTCCTTAAAACCATGAGCAAGATGGTGGCCACAGAGATGGGCGCACACAGGAGGAAGGCTTGCATTTCACGATCGCCTGCAGTGACCCTCAAGTGCACAGAAGTGCAACGCGCCACTTTCCAAGGTTTCAGGGGTGAGGGGGGGGGGAATCACCCCCATCCCCTCCTCCCCAACATCCTAGGATCTGCCAGTGATTCTGCCATGCTACAATCAAAATATTATATTTAGTTTTTTTATATATATCTAAATTATATTTTACATTCGTAATTGATGTAAAAGAGATGTTTAACATTAAATAATTCAACACAATGTTAATTTTACTGTGTTTTTTTATTTTATATATACAGTGAGGGAAAAAAAGTATTTGATCGCCTGCTGATTTTGTACGTTTGCCCACTGAAAAAGAAATGATCACTCTATAATTTTAATGGTAGGTTTATTTAAAAAGTGAGAGACAGAATAACAAAAAAAATCCAGAAAAACGCATGTCAAAAAAGTTATTAATTTGCATTTTAATGAGGGAAAAAAAGTATTTGACCCCTCTGTAAAACATGACTTAGTACTTGGTGGCAAAACCCTTGTTGGCAATCACAGAGGTCAGACGTTTCTTGTAGTTGGCCACCAGGTTTGCACACATCTCAGGAGGGATTTTGTCCCACTCCTCTTTGCAGATCTTCTCCAAGTCATTAAGGTTTCGAGGCTGACGTTTGGCAACTCGAACCTTCAGCTCCCTCCACAGATTTTCTATGGGATTAAGGTCTGGAGACTGGCTAGGCCACTCCAGGACCTTAATGTGCTTCTTCTTGAGCCACTCCTTTGTTGCCTTGGCCGTGTGTTTTGGGTCATTGTCATGCTGAAATACCCATCCATGACCCATTTTCAATGCCCTGGCTGATGGAAGGAGGTTCTCACCCACGATTTGATGGTACATGGCCCAGTCCATCGTCCCTTTGATGCAGTGAAGTTGTCCTGTCCCCTTAGCAGAAAAACACCCCCAAAGCATAATGTTTCCACCTCCATGTTTGACGGTGGGGATGGTGTTCTTGGGGTCATAGGCAGCATTCCTCCTCCTCCAAACACGGCGAGTTGAGTTGATGCCAAAGAGCTCCATTTTGGTCTCATCTGACCACAACACTTTCACCCAGTTGTCCTCTGAATCATTCAGATGTTCATTGGCAAACTTCAGACGAGCATGTATATGTGCTTTCTTGAGCAGGGGGACCTCGCGGGCGCTGCAGGATTTCAGTCCTTCACGGCGTAGTGTGTTACCAATTGTTTTCTTAGTGACTATAGTCCCAGCTGCCTTGAGATCATTGACAAGATCCTCCCGTGTAGTTCTGGGCTGATTTATCACCGTTCTCATGATCATTGGAACTCCACGAGGTGAGATCTTGCATGGAGCCCCAGGCCGAGGGAGATTGACAGTTCTTTTGTGTTTCTTCCATTTGCGAATAATCGCACCAATTGTTGTCACCTTCTCACCACGCTGCTTGGCAATGGTCTTGTAGCCCATTCCAGCCTTTTGTAGGTCTATAATCTTGTCCCTGACATCCTTGGAGAGCTCTTTGGTCTTGGCCATGGTGGAGAGTTTGGAATCTGATTGATTGGTTGCTTCTGTGGACAGGTGTCTCTTATACAGGTAACACGCTGAGATTAGGAGCACTCCCTTTAAGAGTGTGCTCCTAATCTCAGCTCGTTACCTGTATAAAAGACACCTGGGAGCCAGAAATCTTTCTGATTGAGTGGGAGTCAAATACTTATTTCCCTCATTAAAATGCAAATCAATTGATAACATTTTTGACATGCGTTTTTCTGGATTTAGTTGTTGTTATTCTGTCTCTCATTGTTCAAATAAACCTACCATTAAAATTATAGACTGATCATTTCTTTGTCAGTGGGCAAACGTACAAAATCAGCAGGGGATCAAATACTTTTTTCCCTCACCATACACATAAATAAAAGTGTCTCAAGGATTGAGACACAAACTGTTACGTGGCGCAGGCATGAGAAGCGAGGGCTGCTCTGCGCCTGCAGCGCCATTACCTTTCCATAGATGACGACGTTGACAGAGCCCTTGAGGATGATGTACCACGAGGTGCCCTCCTCACCCTGGTTAAACACTGCGGAGGGCAAATGCAACCGCGGGTCATTGCGAGCACTCGCACGCCCTTGAATTTAAATCAAGTAAAGCGGAGCGTCAAGAAGTGTTTAATCTGTGCGTGTTACCTGCCAGCGAATATGGATGAGAAACATTGACATTGACAAAGACATTCTGTTGGTTGGTTTACTTGAACTGTAAACGTATTCATGTCATGCTTCCAAAGATGGAATTTAGATGCAAACATCTGTAGAAACTGAAGAATAGTTGAAAGAAATGCAGATCAAGTCAGATAAACTGGAGTCACAACAATCTACTCATTTGGTGTCAAGGTGTAGTATGGGGAATAAAAAAATGCATTTAAAAGTGAAAATAAAAAAAGAAAACTGCCACTTTATGGGTTAAAGCATTGCTTGGAAGGACACGTGACCACTTACAGATGGTGCCAGCTTTGGCGTGGGATTCAAAGATCAGCACGCTGGCCAGCTCCCGCCTCACCTGCACCCACAGGATCGCACACACGCGCGGGACGGTGAAGCAGCGCAGTGCGGCAGCACCTCCATATCAACACGAACCGCTCTAACCCTAACCCCTCCAGATGAACACGAACCGCTCTAACCCTAACCCCTCCAGATGAACACGAACCGCTCTAGCCCTAACCCCTCCAGATGAACATGAACCGCTCTAGCCCTAACCCCTCCAGATGAACATGAACCGCTCTAACCCTAACCCCTCCAGATGAACACGAACCGCTCTAGCCCTAACCCCTCCAGATGAACACGAACCGCTCTAACCCCTCCAGATGAACACGAACCGCTCTAGCCCTAACCCCTCCAGATGAACATGAACCGCTCTAACCCTAACCCCTCCAGATGAACACGAACCGCTCTAGCCCTAACCCCTCCAGATGAACATGAACCGCTCTAACCCTAACCCCTCCAGATGAACACGAACCGCTCTAGCCCTAACCCCTCCAGATGAACACGAACCGCTCTAGCCCTAACCCCTCCAGATGAACACGAACCGCTCTAACCCTAACCCCTCCAGATGAACATGAACCGCCCTAACCCTAACCCCTCCAGATGAACACGAACCACTCTAACCCTAACCCCTCCAGATGAACATGAACCGCCCTAACCCTAACCCCTCCAGATGAACACGAACCACTCTAACCCTAATCCCTCCAGTTGAACATGAACCGCTCTAACTCTAACCCCTCCAGATGAACATGAACCACTCTAACCCTAATCCCTCCAGTTGAACATGAACCGCTCTAACCCTAACCCCTCCAGATGAACATGAACCGCTCTAACTCTAACCCCTCCAGATGAACATGAACCGCTCTAACCCTAACCCCTCCAGATGAACACGAACCGCTCTAGCCCTAACCCCTCCAGATGAACATGAACCGCTCTAGCCCTAACCCCTCCAGATGAACATGAACCGCTCTAGCCCTAACCCCTCCAGATGAACACGAACCGCTCTAACCCCTCCAGATGAACACGAACCGCTCTAGCCCTAACCCCTCCAGATGAACACGAACCACTCTAACCCTAACCCCTCCAGATGAACATGAACCGCCCTAACCCTAACCCCTCCAGATGAACACGAACCACTCTAACCCTAATCCCTCCAGTTGAACATGAACCGCTCTAACCCTAACCCCTCCAGATGAATATTAACCCCATCTAACGCTAACCCCTCCAGATGAACATTAACCCCTCTAACCCTATTCTTGAAGTTGAACTCTAACCCCCGTTAACACTGGACCGCGTGACTCATTTTGTAAATAAACCTCAGCACTCGTGGGTTGTCTGGCTTCTCATGGTGTCAATGGCACGGTTTCTTAAGTAATTACAGATTTTGCATTAAATTCGTTTAATTCACAGCAATAAAAACCACAAATACTCATGCATACACCTCAATGCTGCTTCTGCTCGAATAACCTAAATGTGAAGCATCACTAAAAGTCGAGCGCAATGCTGCCTAGTACCGCTAAGCTAATGCACGTAAACATTGCTCCGGGTAGACATACATTGTTTTCCATCCATTGAGTCTTCTGATAAACTTGAGCAGGATTCGGATCTGTGCACTCACCGTGATGGAGAGATGGGAGAGGGCCTTGATGTGAAGAAGCTCCTCATAGATTATCTCCAGGTCGTCCGGCCCCCGCTGACCGGGTCTGCATCGGTCATAAACAACCACGCTCACTTAGAAACCGTCCTGTATGCAGGACACCCATGCCCCTTGTGCCAATCCACTGCTGGACGAAGGCCTGCCCACGTTGTTTGGGCAAGCAGTAAGTTAGTTGACCACGTTTGGTTCGAGTGGGTCGACGACGGCAACACATCTTCTGTGGATGGCAGTCACTCATCCATCCAAGTGCCTATCCAGGCTGAAATATACTGCTTAGCTTCCGAGATATGACGATATCTTACCTTATCTTAACGGAATTTATATAGCGCCTTAATGAAGGCGCTTTACAAATAATCAACAACGGTACGCGGGATAATAGGTTTCCCCCCTTTTTTCTGGCAACAAAACAGGTGTTAAGATGTTAAAACACCAAACTGAAACCTTTTACAAGGAATCATGTTCCGCACTGACCACAATGCTTGTGGTTAGAATGCAAAAAAACGTACTCTGATAATATATGCATTGTCCCTTGAAACTGATTGGTCCACACCAGAGACAGCTTTCTTTTGAGCCAGAGGACGCCAAAAGGCATACGGTACACGTGTGAATGTAATGGTGAAAGAAGTAGATGAGAGGAAACAGTGGGCAAATCTGTGATGCGTGAATTCGGTGAAAGCGAAATTAATGACAGAAAATGATGATAAATCGATTGAATGAATGGAGGTTAATGAGGGATAGTTATGTAATGCGAATACGAAGGGGGAACAGTATGGGTGGTAGTTATGCGAGGGACATTAAGGGGTCGTGGGGTGAGCTAGGGAACAACAATTAACACTTTTTTTCAAAATTTTCTTGCGGTGGTATTCACACCTGACGATGATTGCTTGTGTTGCAATCGAAACGTCGTGAATATGAATCCCTGCAGTCGCGAAAGCTTTAAATGTAAACAATAAGAGAGGTTTGAGTGAGGAGCAGAAGTGAGTGAGTGAAGGTGACTGTTTCATGTGGAGGAGAAGTTTGCTCCAGGAAGAGAAAAAAAGTGACAGCGAGGTTTGAGCACACGGAGGAGGAGGAGGGACAGAGAGAGAGAGAGACTGGAAAGACTGAGAACGCGTGCATTTGTGGGCGTTTTGTTCTTCGGCGCAGAGCACCGATAAATAGCCAGATACACAGATACACAGGGATGTGCATTCGTAATGCTGCCAGCCCGACCACCCCCTAATGGTCGTCCAAGACTCGCGCGCGTGGGTTTCATTTGTCGTCGCAGAGAACAGCTGCCCCCGAATGCTCAACGCAAATCAGTTGCACCGCGTGCACGAAGAAGACTCGGCAGAAGAGCACCCTCCCCTGACTGCATGGCCTCCGCTCAGGGCGGTCAATGTCCCCTTCGCTAATTAAAGCCTCCGCAGTCCGAAATCCGTTTCTTCACGGAAATAGCCACACGGTTATTCCTCCAGGCAGTGGCAGTGGCAGCGGCATCATCATCATCAAGTGTGATCGCCTCTGCCTGGGAATTACACAGTATGACACACTGGCTCTGGCTTTCATCCATATTTCAGAGAGTTTATGTAATCTGTGTATGTATGTTGAACTTCTGTTGCACTGTACGCATCCAACCGTGCTAATCGGAGGTGCGTGGGTGGAGGGCCAACAATCTAAACACAAAAAAACTGGTTAATGAGGACAAAAATATGTTTCGGTGATACTCTCGACAGATTTTGTCAATGTCATCACAAGTCATGATCAATCCACTGCTGGCTGAAGGCCTCCCCAATGCGTCTCCATCTACCACGGTCCTGTGCATGTCCCAAGGGGGATATAATCCGGATATTTTTTGCTTTTAAATATAGGTTTGCATTAATGTGTGTATGTATATATATAAACAACATTCCACGTATTTTCTATGGTAAATATTAAAACACCCCCCCCACCCACCCCAAGTCCCTCGGATCTGCCACTGATCCTGCCATGCAATATTGTCAATTTTATATATAAAAAAAATAGTGCGTAAATAGAATTGTACATTCGTAATTGATGTAAAACGATGTTTGGCATGAAATAGTCCAACACAATGTTAATTTGACAGTTTTTTTCTTTTTGATTTAAAGCTTTCGTGACTGCAGGGATTCATATTCTTGTTTCTTTCGGTAAAGTCACGTAGAAGGCAAACAATAAAATAATAAAAATATAAAACAATAAAATTCTTATATAAATGATATATATATAAAAGTGTCTCATGGATTGAGACACAAACAGGTTAGCGTCAAGTGTCGAGGTTTGCAGTTTGCACTCCAACCACACAGTGTCACTCGGGTAGCTGGATATCCCTATTCTGCCTCGGGTGCAAAACAGGAAACATCACCGTCCGCCGGGAACACCGCGGGAACCGGCGACTGTTGGGGAAAGTGCTGCCAGCGAGCACCTGTGAAGACCGCTGTTCCCAGACGAGGCGTACACACCTGACAGCTCAAGCTCTCAGCTCCCGGAAACAACAACCTCGCTCTCAATCCGCCACACTCTGCATTAACCACATGTACTTGTGGAAAAAACATGTAAACAAGCACGCTCCGATAATATTTGGGCATTGCCTTTGAAACCGATTGGCCTACACCAGAGACGGCCTTCTTTTTGGACTTGTCTCACCAGTGCTAGAGACCAGAGAACGTCAAAAGGCAAATTAATTGGCGCGTTGGGATTAGAGAACATTGGCGGGTGAGAGCATTTTTTTTATTTGGCCGTTGAGAAGAGTGGAGTAGGCTCGGGCGGGACTCGGCATGGCTAGAAGACGTCGACCACAAAGACGGAGCGATGGGAACAGGCTGTGTGCAGATGCCAGACGGACCGTTTGCATCGCAGAACCGTGAGAGAAGAGGCCTTGGTCCAGAAGTGGATTGATCATGGTTGATGACGATGTTGATCGCTCGTCAAAGCGTGCGTCGGTAAATTCGAGTGCATCAGTCACGAGAGTGCACGTGGGTCAAAAGTGGTAGAGCAATGATGAAGATCGCATCAGTCATCCGGTACAATCGTCACAAACAGTGTAACTCAGTAACAGCAAGGAGTGCGTTCTAAGAGAGTAATTTGGTGGTAAGTGGCACAGCACGAGGCCACATTGTTATGGGGACAACAAAACCACGCACGCGCTACACACACGCCCTACACGTCACACACACACACACGCACCACACAAACACGCCATGCACACGCTCTGTATGCCACACACACATACACCACACACACACACTATACTCCACACACACATACACCACACACACACTCTATACTCCACACACACATACACCACACACACACTCTATACTCCACACACACATACACCACACACACACTCTATACTCCACACACACATACACCACACACACACTCTATACTCCACACACACATACACCACACACACACTCTATACACCACACACACATACCCCACATACATACGCTCCACGCACTATACACTCCACACAACAACGACCTTTGCCACTTAGTGTCGTCACCACAGCGCTTGTGCCAGGCTAGGTGCACTTTGAGGCCCCGTGAAGTGTGAATGGCTTGCTGACAGGAGGTCACAGGAGAGACCCAGGTCTTTTATGGGTTTACTGACGGGGAACACTGGCAGATGCACCACTTGTGCTCCCCACTGTACCAAATGGCTGCATTTTATCCACACGGTACTCCCACTCGTTGCTTCTCTGCACTCCGTTGTTGTTGGAGGGCGACGGCCTCCAAATGCCAAGTAACGTCCACTGCTACCAGTCATCTGCAAGTCCAGTTAGTGCCACGTCTTTCTGTCCAGCATCAACTCCATCTCTCCTCTAGTCCGTTGGCTGCCCATTTAGGCCCAAGAGAAGCTGCTTGGTCATGCGGTGCCCGGGGATGCGGGCGACATCACCCAGCCGACGCAGCCTTGCCCGCCAGCAAAAACTCAATGTTGGGACTGTGTCCAGATCTTGACACTACACACAACAACCGCCATTCGCCACGAAGTGGCGGTGACGTCACCACGGCGCTTGTGCCAGGCTTGGTGCACTTTGAGGTTACGTGAAATGTCGAAAGGCTCGCTGGTGGGAGGTAACGGGACAGACCCAAGTCCCATGGGTTGACTGACTGAGATGACTGGCAGATGCACCACCATCTGTGCTCCTCAACAAAGACAAAGGTCCCCCTATAGCCTTAACAGACTCTTGGGAGCAAGTGCTGTTAGCCAGCACCTTATAACGGCTCAGAAGGCACACGAGGGGGTGGGTGGCCAATACCATGCCCGGGCCGCCTTTGCCAGGTACTCATTTGAGGCTGAGTCGAAGTAGGGGAGGCCCATGACTGGTTCAGATAGTCGGCGTTGGCCGTGAGCATGAATCGAACTCGGGTCGCTGGGTTCATAGTGCAGCACGCGCCAACCGCTGTACAACTGCTCCCCACACACACACACACACATGCCGAGCGTGTGGCGCTGCGCCTGCGACTCACGAGCACAGACCGAGTCAACCCACTGCACCTGGGTCTGTCCTGTGACCTCCTGCAGGCGGGTCGTTCGATACTTCACGTGACCTTAACGTGCACGTGGCTTGTCACAAGTTGCCGTGGTGAAATGCGGTTGTTGTTGTTGTTGTTGTGACTCACGGCTTGCGCAGGATCATCCTCATGAGGGCGTCGGGGCCGAGCTGCGACAGGAGGATGAGCGTCTCCTGCAGCTCCTCCTCGCTCTCGCGCAGCTCGTCCACCAGGGGGAACAGCGGCGTCTCCGCCTCGTCCTCCAAGAAGCGGTAAAAGAGCAGCTTGTCCTGGAAGTTCTGCTCCTGGTCGACTATGTGTGAGAGACGACACGGGACACGGAGCAAAAACGTCGCCGCCGGTCGATTCATTTTAGCGGAGACACTTGTTTGCACGGACGAACTGCAACAAGGAGCTGTGCAAGCCGACCATAAATGACATGAACACTAAGAGACAAATAATTAGATACCGTGTATAATAGCCTATTAACAGACCGTTAGGGCAAGTGCTGTTAGCGAGCACCTATGAAGGCTGGAAAGGCACTCGAGGTGGTGGGTGGCCAGCACCATGTCCGGCCGGCTTTATCTCCCCAGTGGCGATGTTTAAACACCGCACAGGTACTCATTTGAGGCTGAGTCAACCTAGAGGAGGCCCAGGACCGATTCAGATAATAGTGACTGGTGTTGGGTGTAACCGGGAATCGAACTCAGGTCGCTGGGTTCGTAACGCAGCGTGCTAATCGTTGCACTGCCGCTTTCATTTCAATAATTTTGTTTTTAGTTTGTTTGGCACAGTACAGTACTCATTTCAAATGTGATGTGTCTATTTTTGGTTGCCGTGTACCTAACCCCATTATTTTTAGGTCAGGCTTAAGTATTGAATATCGCGGATTTTGCCTTTCATGGTACTTTACAAGAATGTAACCTCCCCCCCCCCGCGATATTCAAGGGTCTTCTGTAATTAATTCCTCGCCAGACATGTTTGGAATTCCTGGCTTTTGTGAAAAATCACCAATGAAGTACGCGTGGCCGGAGTAAAATAGAAGAGAGCACTTGAAAACAAAAAACTTTTCTTGTTGATCTGTTTGGTCGGTGATCAACAAGAAACAGGGGTTTTCCTCCTCCCACTCACAGCCTCTCCGCACAGTGGGGCCCCGGTGAAAGAGACTGAAAATGTCACCAGGGCTGTCCAATCTCCTGCCTCTTCAATGGCCCAGCAACCCGGTGCAGTTGCAGTGACGACGATGCTGCCGCCACCGCCGGCCCACTCGATTGGCGCGTGACCCGGCCCCCTTAGTCGCGCGCGCGCGCCACCTCGGCTACGCCGCCACCGGCAACGTCTGCGACGACCATTACCGTGATTGAGGACGCCCTCCTCCAGCAGCACCTGCCACATGGCGACGGCCTGGGTGCGCGCGTGCACGCTCGGACTCTGCTGCATCAGCCAATCGACGAGCTCGGCCCCCACGCAGCACCGCCTGTCCCACAAACACGCACGTACGCACGCCAAGACGTAATTAAGATCTCCCGTATAGCCTTTAACAACAGGCCGTTGGGCCAAGTACTATGGACCCTTTTTTGTTTTGACATTTTTTTTTTCTTTTACCAAGTAAGGCCCACTGGGGTGTATGGCTCTTTTTCAGAAGCGACCTAGCCACAAATGATAGCTCAACGAGGTGGCTCATCACGTGGAAATGTATAGCAGCTAAATACTCTGAACGCACGTTTCGAAATGTGGAGTGAAAAACCAGAGGAGCCAGAGAAAAATCCACGCGACCACGGGGAGAGAGACACGCAAACTCCATATAGACAGCAGGCGTCAGGGTCGGAATCGAACCTACGACCATCTGTATACCAGGCGAGGTAGTTAACATCTTGCCACCGCGGTGTCCAAAGTGAAGTTCTGTTCGGGAGCACTTATTAAGACTGTTCACAGAATGGGAAGGGTTGGTTTGCGAGCACCATGCCTTTGTCTCCCCAATGCTGATGTTTACAGAACACACCAGGTAATCGTTTAAGGTTGAGTCGACCTAGAGGAGGCCCAAGACCAGTTCAGATATTCGTTACCGACGTTGGCTGACAGCGGGAATCAAACTCGGGTCACCGCTGATTCGGAGCACGGTCCCGCTAACTGATACACTACTGCTCCCCACACACATACACTTAACTTAATCTCAAATGGTTCCAACCTCAGCATCATCAACACCCGTGAGATCATCTCCATCAATGTTAACGTCAACATCATCATTAGCTGATACATATTTTGTATAAAGTGGCTAAACTGTGTTTTTGTGTTTGTCCGTCCGGAGAACTCCTCTTTGAGGTGTCATTTGAAAGCTCATCTTATGTATCTCAGGTCAAACCTATTTCACAAAGAGACTTTGAATCTAATTCAGCTCATCAGCCCTGATAGCTGCTTATCAACTCTGCAATAAGTCAGCAAATTTTCGCAGTCCCATTTCAAAACCATACACCGGATACGTGTGTGCGAAGGAGTGTCAGCAAGCACAAGTGCCGGGTTATCCCAGTAGCAAAAGTAGCTACTACACGTGTAGTAGCTACTACATACTACATGTGTAGTAGCTACTACTACACATGTAGTAGCTACGGGCCCCGCACTTTTAAGGGCCCCGCGCTAAATGCTTTAAAGCTATCAATTCCAGTTCAGTTATTCTGCACTTGCTCTATTACTATAGTACCACACTGCCTTCAACTTTTATGAACGATTGGGTGTTTACGGTTATCGATTTGTCGTATTATTTGGCTGTATATCAAATGAAAAAATACAATTACTTTACTATGCAAGTAAAAAATTGCGTTTTAATGTTTATGTGTTTTTTAAATTTATTTTAGGGCCCCTTTATAACATATGCCACAGGCCCCGCACTAGCTTAATCCGGCACTGGTCAGAAGCCATGAAATCTCCACGGGCTTGCCGCTGTATTGTGTAAACTGGCGTGTGGCGAGGGACAGGTGAACTTTGCTGAATGTCTGAGAGGGGTCGCGTGAATGTCACGTCACTCCGTCCGTAGGATACGGCACCCACGTTATATATATATATAAAACAATAATGTAGGCTTTTAAAGCACATGGCAATATCAGAATTATTTCGATACCTTGGCTTAAAGTTAACACCGACAAGATTCATAATAGGTCATCGGATGTTGAGCTCGGACGCACCTGTAGGTTTTCAAGTGGTACTTGCGGTCCCTGATCATGTGAGAGGCCCTGCTCAGGATCACGTTCCTCAGGACGACGCCAGCGTGGAGGATCTTCTCCGAGGGGACCTGCGAACCAACCCGGCGTCGTCTTTGTAACATCGCTCGTGGGTTTTTTTTTCGCGTGAACGCGACGTCGCGATCAGACTTTAACGACACACGCGCAGGTGTGAGCTGCGTGCACTAAAGTCCCCTCCACTCCGTCTTACGCAGACCACCGGCTCACTACTCCTGTGACCATTTTGTAGTGTCTTATGTGACCAACTAATAAAAAAAAAAGAGAAATATGTGACGAGCCGACATGTTCTTGTTAAATCTAGTTGTGTTCCGGCCGGAACTACGTTTTGAGTTGTGATGGCTGTTCTCGTCAGGGATTTAATTATTGTTCCCTAGAGACGTAGCTATTGGAACTTGATCTTGATAAAAAATTGTGCTTACGCATGCACGCGCCCCACAAGAGTAAATACCATTTGAGTGGTGCTGCTCAGTAACGGAATGATAGGACCGTGTACCATACAGGACGTGGCAGCATCAAGCTTATACGACTGAAGTGGGCCTTGAAAACCAAACGCCTCTGCTGGACTGCCAATGACCGAACAATATCATAGAGCGAGCGAATTTCTTATTGCACCAGGATAGCTACTCAGCAGGGATCATGGCACTGTTGTTGATCCTGATGCAAATGTCAGTCGCCATGTGCAAAGATGGACTATGATAAAATATCACCGTGAACTGGGATGCAACCATGCAACTGACTTATGACTCCACCATTGAGTTAATATGTCTTCAGGCAATACAGTTTCACCCACTGAAGCAATGACTCATTATACTTTTAACATTGCAAAAGGCAAAGAGGTTAATTCCAACAATGTCAACGTACAGCACATTGCATTCCATGGTGGCCTGACACAAAGCTTCACAAAGTCCGGTGCTTGTCACATAACAAGGTCAGCTGATTGTGGAATTCAGTAGCAATATCCACGCACAGACACTGACAACAACAACACGTGGATATCGTGTCACACGTTGTGGTAAATTATATGCGTTGTGTGAGGCTGCACATAGCGAACCCACGCCAGTGGATTCCTGACCGACACAATGTTGCGGTATGGGCTATATGACTTGTGAAACTGCTCTTGCGGGCGATACGATTTTACAATCACCGAGTGTGCACGTCACGTGCTCCAGAGGCACATGAGATAACAGCAATGAGTCAACGTGAAGCACGGTGGACTGGAATGAAAGAATATCTGTGCTAGGATCTGAATGTCAGTGCACAGCGATGGCAATGAGGTCCGCTCATCCCAACCTCCCATAGCGCAAGCCAGCTGAGTTACGGCAGTTTACACTTCCACTGGGGTGGAGTGCTGGCACAGTGGTTCGCACACTGCATGATGAATCCAACGATAGGTAGAGTGTGTGTGTTTTACCGTGGAGTGGTGGCAGCTTGAATAAAGTCAATGGCGAGCGATTTCTGAAATTGTCCTGGGCCCCCCTTCGCCAACCCGCACTGACCAGTGTGATGATGAATGGTCAAACAAACCTCCACGACTGAAGAGTGTGGGGAAGCCGTCACTCAGCAGTATTTTGACGAAAGGCTGTAAATCACTAATGTTGTATTTTATACCTCCATTAGTCAGCATTGTGTTTGAGATAGAAATGGACAAATTTGTAAGTGTCTTAAATTTTGCATCTGCAGAGAAAAAAGAAAAAAACGTCGATTTCATTACATCTGATTACGCTGCAACCACCTTATTATATTTCTGCATGTCTCCTTTATTGAGTGGTGCAGTGAAATTGGCATGGGCCCTGATGCAAGGAATGACATATGGGGCCCCCTGTCCAATTTGCCAGCCATGTTTGTGGCTCCATGCCTGGGCGCCCCCCTCCAGCTCACGGCCACTGGTGCAATTGCACCGCCTTCACACTCTACAGCTGGACCAAAAACCCCGCGAAGAAGGCCAAGGTTCACGTCCATCCAGTGCCGCGGTGCGTGTGGTGTGTGTGGCGAGCAAACAGAAGGGGTGGGGGGTTACCTGGCTCATGAGCGAAACCTGGCCCAGAGGTTTTAATGGACGGTGGGAGACTGTGTTCTCTATTATAGGAGTCTGGAACAAACAAAAAAAATACAAAAAAACGAAACATGCATGCATGGCAAACAATGCAACAGAACGAAAGCAAAAATGAACCCACTAAAATAAATCAAACTTTGAACAACAAACCAAGACTTGCACCGAATACAATGAATTACAGTACGTGGTAAACGAACAAAACTGTCAATTAAAGTACGTGGTGAGTAATTAAATAAGCAATAGGAAACGTTTGAAAAGAGGCGCCTGTAAATGCCACTCCAGGTTTAGTGTTCCCAACAGTGGCAACCGTAAGCACCACGGCCGTGAGTCACAACACAGCCGCTCAGGTGACGTGTTTATGACTCTGCCGCCTGACACTGTCAGGCTGGAGGTTGCCGGCACCTGGCAGGTGTTTCCAACGTCACGCGAGGAGGGCCCGGTTCCAGCAGCGCATGCATCGCGTTCATGGGCCAGGTGACCGTGCATGTGCACAGGCCTGCTTCCGCAGTGAAGCTAAACGCAAGTGACGAATGCGCAATGGGCTTTGCCGAGACCGTTTCGGTGATCGCGCGGCTTCGCTGCTGCCCAAATAAAGCTTTAATCTCTTGCCTCTGTGAATCTCCGAATGCTTCATTTGCTCGCCGCTCTCGTGATTGCCGCTTCTACCGAGTTCTCTTCAATAGCTCCCTTCTCACTCCCGCACATCTCCGAGATCGTCATCAGCCACGGTCAATCCACGTTTGGATGAGGGCCTTCCCTGAGCTATCGTCGTCACCATCTCTCACGTTACAGCAATATCGAATGAGAATTAGTCCACCGTAAAACTGTGCCCGAATTCCCAGCTGGACAGCGCTACACTTCCCATCAGTACATCTTCCTTTCTCTTGAATTTTGCATTGTTACACAAGCGGACGTCAATGCATTGTATCGGTCGCATTTCCTATTCTACTACAATGTTGTAAAGTGGTAAATCGTCATAGCTTTGAAATCTACTTTTCACTGCACTTCATTGCTTTAATTTAAAATAACTACTCACATTTTGTAATTATTTATTATTGTAAAAATGCATGTGCAGTTACAAATCGTTGCCAGTACTGTGATGGTTTATTGTTTATTTCATGATTACTTCACAAATGTATTTTGTTAAATGAAATGCTTGTATGTTTAAACCGATATTTTACTGTAAATACAAAGTTAATTAAGACGACTATCCATACAGGTTTTTTTCTTGCGTTAGATCGCGTAAATATATAAATGTGTTTTGATTTAAAGCTTTCGTGACTGCAGGGATGCATACTCTTGGTTCTTTCGATAAAGTCACGTAGAAGGGAAACAATAAAATAAAAAAAATTTGAAACAATAAATTTCTCACGATGTTTCGACTGCAACACAAGCAATCATCGTCAGGTGTGAAAACCACAGCAAGTTTTTTTTAAAAAAAGTGGCGGTTTTTTTAACGTTAGCACCACGGAGAGCGATTTGGCAGTTATTCAGATGGACGAGTCCATCTATGTTCGGAAAAGAGGAGGGGGGAGACGAAAATAATGGATGCGGTCTGAAAGCCACCGTAAGCGTGAACAATCAATTAAGACCCGAAATGGTTTATCAAATCCTTCCAAAGATTGCTAAGCCAGAATCCATCTTCTCCGTTGAAATTGTCTCTGTGTTTGTATATGTGGATAGCCTCATGAACGAATCTCTCATGGTAGCCAGATGGCTTGCAAAGAAACTCTATCTTGGAGAAGTCAATGTCATGTGAGCCTACCGAATTATAACAGTGATCTGCCATGGCCGAGGTGTTGGTCCTACAGTGTTTTAGGTCTGCTTTGTGTTCATGAATGCAGTCCGAGACATGTTTGGTTTCTCCAATGTAACTACTACCACAGAGGCAACACAGTTTGTAGACGCCAGGGTACTGTATGTCTGGAATCACATCTGTTTACAGAGGGAACCAGATCACAGATTTTATGTAATGTGTTGAATCGGACCTGGATCTTGTGTTTATTCAAGATTTGGAGATGTTTTTGTGATCCCCGCAATGTAGGGTAAAGTGATGGTTTTGAAAGGCTCCTCAAGAGGGTCCTTCTTCATGGTTGGAGTGATAGCTTTGCAGATTGTGTAGTCGGAGTAACCATTAGCCTTAAGAGCTTGGTGTACGTGCTTGAGTTCACTGGCTATGTGTTCCTGGTCGGATATGCATTGGGCTCAATGGTGCAGAGTCTTGATGAGGGAATTCTTCTGGGATGGATGGTGGTGGGAATCCGGTTTCAGGTAAGCATCCGTATGGGTAGCTTTCCTGTAAGCAGAGTGGCTCATTGAATCATCAGGTCTCTTTTTATTAGGACATCCAAAAAAGGTAGCTTGGCATCTTTATTTTATTATTTCCTTTCTACGTGACTTTACGAAAAGAACCAAGAATATATAAATGTGTCTTTAAAACCCGCCACACATTTATATATTTACGCGATCTAACCCAAAAAAACCTCTATTATGGATGATGTTGGTCGCGAAAGCCTACATGTTAAACCAAGTCGACCATACGCTTCCTTCCTTCCCGTACCTGTCCCTCCACATGAAGCAAACTATTTTTCACAAGTACTGTACAAGTATTTACACGCATCCAATCGGCCTCATTGCCTTCTGGGAGTGAATTCTTCCAGCATCTTTGATTTAATACTCGTAATCTCTGGACCGGTTTCAACATTCGGTGTCTCATCAGCAGAGTCAGCTTTTCTCAAGCCAATGCTGGCGAGCCACCACATGTTTATAGGTAGGGACCTATTTCATTTAAATCGGTCTCAATCCTATGGTATTCATGCGACACTAAGGAACAAAACCGTGGATCATTTGAGCATCACCGTCCGTTAGGGCAGCTTCCATAGGTTCACAACAATGGCCCCCAGAGTCGATGTTCTCCAATCCGAGGGGTCAGGGTTTGTCGAGACCACAGGCTACGAATATCAAAACTAAGCTCATCAGATTTGAAATGCAGTTCGCTTAAATTGATCCGCAAGCTGATTTTCCGTGCAGTTTTCAAAACAGAAATTGGGCGCAGCATTCTACGCTCAATCTAGCCTCTAATAGGCGCTCGATCTATTATTAGCCGCTCCTTATTCGTGACACAGTGACTTATTACTTGATGAGAGAATAAAAACAGACTGACATCGTCTAGATTCTTCATTCCCCACCCCCCCAAGTCGACATATACTTCACTGTATGAGCCATAATTATGACAGTATAAACTAATTTACAAGTGTCTGTGTACAGTATTTATTTTTATCCGAGGCTACAACCATGCCCCCCATTACATAGGGTGTGAAAGAAGTTCAACATGCATACGTAAATCTCGGAGAGTTGATCCGAAGGTAGAAAAACTACTTAATTAATTTACTTTGTTTTTGCTGTACGTCAATTATATCATGGGACCTTTTTTTCCAGTATCCAAAATTATGAATAATAGCAATAGGTTTTACATTTGGTGTTTGAATACCAAATAGTGAGACAAGGTGAACCAAGGCCATAAAGAAGGCCGTCTCTGGTGTAGGCCAATCCGTTTCAAAGACAATGCCCACACATTTATCAGAGCGTGTTTGCTCGTATGTTTTTGCCACATGTACTTAAATGCGTTTTTTTTAATCCCTTGAAAAAAAATAAAGTTTTCACCTAAAACACTTAAAATATTAATCCCGGACATTGCGTCCTCCTGCCCCATCCGAGTGATTATTGCAGAAGCACGCAACCGCGAAATTTTACATCTCCATGGCCGAATTAAGCACACAAGTACGCCTCTGCCACGGTCAACTTCTGACAATGGTTGCGCAACACGGTCGCGTGGAAATTGTGTCCATTTTGCAGTTCGTGACCCGGTCCTAATGATGTCACGGACAAATGAATTACGCACAATGGGTGTGATGAAGCTAAAAATATATATATAATTGGCAATCGCGGCAAAAATCCGGCAGACTGAGCAGTCGACACGAACCGCACGAACAAAAAAGTTAATCTCAATCGGATCATCGCGCCGAAACGCACAGCGCCAGCAATTTGGAGTACACGCGTGTACACTTCGTCGTTTGTATCACGCAGGTACAATCTAATTGGCAGGCTTTTGCTTTCGCGTGGTATGATATATGTAAGAACATTGGGGATTTTATTTTCCAACAAAAAATTTAGAGCTCCAGAAGGGAAGATTTGTGTGGTCGAGTGAGTGCGTTGTAGGGCAGCAAAGGTAGTTTGATGTTCATAGTCATCAATGCACTTGAAAAAGGTGTCTTCAGGATAGTCGCTAAACTTGACTGTCAAGAATCACATTGTCAAGGCACTAGCATAATTTATTTCCCTGGGTTAAGGATACACCACATGCAAAAAGGGGCACTTTAACCACCCTCAGGCCATTATTTGTTAACTTCAATTCTAAAAGTTGCTTATAAACTCAAGACTCGATCAGCTGACTCACCAGATAGCATTACTCACAAGCTGTACTGTAAACTGCTCCAAGCAATGCATTTTACCAACGTGTTTGCAACATGAAAACAAGAAATGCCGGTAATGAGAATAATCGGGGGAATGAACGCGTTTGACGAGAATTCCAGCCAATATTAATTAAAATAAGCATTTAATTGTTGTGGCATGGGGAAAAGGGGGGGGGGGGAGGGGAGGGGAGGACTCTAATGGTGCAGGAAAACAGGCGTGCTATGAAGAGAGTGCGGACCAAACCGTGTTGCGATACGTTTCCGCGAAATAAAAATAAACTCTGAGAAACTCATCAACAAGAGTAACGATATACACGCAAAAGGCTGTTCAGAGGAAGCAAATGTCGCGATTCAAGAGGCCGAGATGGAGTCTCCATTTGCAAGAAAGGCCTGGGTCACAAAAAATGACAAAAGTACGATAATGAAGAAAAAGGCAGTCGGAACAGATTGTGACCGTGTGAAGAAGTGGATATAAAAAGATTCCCCCGGAGGATTTCATTGCAAGATGGGATAGGTGCTATATTTCCCCTGTATTGTGAAGGACAAAAACCAGAAATGCATTAG